GAAGGAAGGAAGGAAGGAAGGAAGGAAGGAAGGAAGGAAGGAAGGAAAAAAAAAGAAAGAAAGAGAGAAAGAGAAAGAAAGAAAGAAAGAAAGAAATAAAGAAAGAAAGAAGGAAGGAAGGAAGGAAAGAAAGAAAGACGGAAAGAAAGAAAGAAAGATGGAAAGAAAGAAACACACACACATAGGGACGGACAATCCAGAGGCTCTAGAATTTTTGCGTGCTGACTGAATAGTGAATTGTTGTTACTGATTCCCTTCTAGGTGGTGAAAGGTGACAGCTGCTCTGTGCAGTTACGATGCTGCACTGCCGCTATAGCCCTCTCCCTCTGTAGTGATCCAACATTCTACTATATATCGGCAAAACTGTAAGTGCACACCTTATCTTTCTTAGAACGTTCAAAGCATACCCCACCCAGGAAAGCAGGCCCGTACCCTCAGTACATTTTCTCACAAAGGTGCCCTACTCTCTGCCTGAAATTTCACTGCTAAAGCTCCATTTCCTTTGCCTTTAAGAACTTCTCGGTATTCAAGGGTCTCCTCTTAAAGAAGTGCTGGAATAGGCTGGACATGGCTCATGCCTGTAATCACAGCACTTTCAGAGGCTGAGGCAGGCGGATCACCTGATTGCGGTCAGCAGTTCAAGACCAGCCTGACCAACATGGTGAAATCCTGTCTCTACTAAAAATACAAAAATTAGCTGGACGTGGTGGCGTGTGCCTGTAATCCCAGCTCCTTGGGAGACCGAGGCACAAGAATTGCATGAATCTGGGAGGTGGAGGTTGCAGTGAGCTGAGATTGCACCATTGCACTCCAGTCTGGGCAACAGAGCAAGAATCCATCTCAAAAAACAAGCAAAAAACGAAACAAACAACAACAAAAAGAAGTGCTGGAATAGGGCCTATACCCTGGAGCCTGGGCACAGTGGCTCACACCTATCATCCCAGTGCTTTGGGAGGCCAAGGTGGGAGGATCATTTGAGGCCACAAGTTTGAGACCAGGCTGGGCAGCATAGCAAGATCCCATCTCTACAGGATAATATATATATATTAAAAAAAAATAGCCAAGCATGGTGACACATGCCCGGAATGGGGCCCATCTTAAACCTTCAGCAGCTGAACAAATTGGAGTTCAACCAGAAGAGGGCAAGGCCTGGGACCAAATGCACAATGAGCAGGTTGGAGGAACTGACCTTTGCAAAGCATTTTTTGTTTTCTTTTTGAGACAGGATCTTGCTCTGTAATCCAGAGTGGAGTGCAGTGGCCCTGTATTAGTCAGGGTTCTCTAAAGGGAGAGAACTAATAGGACATATGTATATATGAAAGGGAATTTACTAAGAAGAATTGACTCACACGATTGCAAGGTAAAGTCCCACGACAGGTTGTCTGCAAATGGAGGATCAAGGAAGACAGTGGTGGATCAGTTCAAATTCCAAAACCTCAGAAGCAGGGAAGCTGACAGCGCAGCCTTCAGTCTATGGCTGAAAAGCCCAAGAGCCCCTGGGAAATCACTGGTGTAAGTCCAAGAGTTCCAAAGCTGAAGAACTTGGAGTCTGATGTTCAAGAGCAGGAAGCATCCAGCATGGAAGAAAGGTGAAGGCCGGAAGACTCAGCGAGTCTGCCTTATTCTAGCTGTGATGGCAGTTGTTTAGATGGTGCCTACTCACATTGAGGGAGGGTCTGCCTCTCCCAGTCCACCGACTCCAATGTTACTCTCCTTTGGCAATCCCTCACAGACACAGCCAGGAACAATACTTGGCATCCTTCAATGCAATCAAGTTGACACTCAATATTCATCATCACAGGCCCGATCACAGCTCTCTCCAAAGTACCAGAGAGACCTGCCAGGGTTCTGGGGGCTCCCAGACACCGGTGGTCCATAACACCCTTCTCTGCTTCTCTGTGACTCTCAGTACAAACGCAGAGGCAGTGGTTGGATCACGTTGCAGCTCTGGCCAGCTCTAACCCCTCAGGTGGGAAGCCTGAGATATCTTGGTTCTCATCTGTGAGTAAGGAGCATGCTCTCACCTGTTCTGCAGGGCTCACTATCCCAAAGTCTTGGTTTGTCCTGTGCAATTTTTGGGCAGGTAGGGTGGCTTTGAGCTCTTCTGTGGGATTTCAACTTCCCGTGGCTCCCAAACCCATGTACATCCTGCTTGGGCTGGAGCCTGGGTACCTACAGACCCACAGAGCTGCACTCTCTCCACGCCTAGCCAAGCATGTCACTCCCATCCCCACGGCTGGGCCTGATCCTCATTAGTGCCCTCTCAGACCTTAGTCCTGGCTCCAGTATCTCTTCTTGGAGCCAAAGTCATGACTTGCCTCTTGACTCTCCATTCAGCCCAGAGTTTTAACTCTTTACCCCAAACACTGACTGGCTCTGGTTTCCAATCTTTAATCCGAGCCTTTGCAACTGTTTCTCTGTGACTTCTCAAAGTACAAAGAGGCAGTGGTTGGATCACGTTGCAGCCTCTGGCCAGCTCTAACCCTCAGGTGGAAGCCTGAGGATATCTTTGGTTCTCATCTGTGAGTAAGGAGCATGCTCTCACCTGTTCTGCAGGGCTCACTATTAAAAGTCTGGCCTGCCCAGTAATTTTTTGGCAGTAGGGTGGTTTGAGTTTCTGTGGATTTCAACTTCCTGTGCTCCCAAACCCATGTACATATCCTGCTTGGGCTGGAGCTCACCCACAGACTCCACAGAGCACCCTTCTTCCAGCCAGCCAAGCATCACTTCCTGCATCCACGGCTGGGCCTGATCTCATTAGTGCCTCTCAGACTCTTAGTCCTGGCCCAGTATCTCTTCTTGTTTCTCAAACATGACTTGCCTCTTGACTCTCCATTCAGCCCAGAGTTTTAACTCTTTACCCCAAACACTGACTGGCTCTGGTTTCCACCTTAATCCAGCCTTTGCAATCTCCTTCCTTCTTTCCTTTCTTCTTTCTTCTTCTTTCTTCTTCTTTCTTCTTCTTCTCCTTCTTCTTCTTCTTCTTCTTCTCTTTCTTCTTCTTCTTCTTCTTCTTCTTCTTCTTCTTCTTCTTCTTCTCCTCCTCCTCCTCCCCCTCCCTCCTCCTCCTCCTCCTCCTCCTCCTCCTCTTGCCCAGGCTGAGTGCACGGCAGACCTCGGTCTCCTGCAGCCTCCACCTCACAGGTTCAAGTAATTCTCCTGCCTCAGCCTCCTGAGTAGCTGGGATTGCAGGCATGTATCACCATGCCTGGCTAATTTTTATATTTTCAGTAGAGACGAGGTTTCACCATGTTGGCCAGGCTGGTCTCGAACTCCTGACCTCAGGTAATCCACCCACCTCGGCCTCCCAAAGTGCTGGGATTATAGGCATGAGCCACCGCACCCGGCCAGCAACTTTTATTACTGTTCATGCCTTAAAACTCATCTGTCAGCCTCCACTCACCAGGTCAATGCCCCTTGGATATACATACAAGCAGAATCATATCTGAATTCATCTCTATGTCTCAGTTTACTCATCTGAAAAATAAAAAATGATAGTATCTATCTTATAGGATTGTCATGGGGAATAAATGACTTCATGCTTGCAAAGTACTTATTTTGTTGTTGTTGAGATAAGGTCTCACTTTGTCACCCAGGCTAGAGTGCAGTGGTGTAATCATAACTCACTTCAGCCTTGAACTCCTGGCCTTAAGCCATCCTCCCACCTCAGACTCCTGAGTACCTAAGACCAGAGGCATGCACCACCACACCTGGATAATTTTTTAAAAATCATTTTGTAGAGATGGGGTTTTGCTTTGCTGCCCAGGCTGGTCTCACATTCCTGACCTCAAGCGAACCTCCCACCTCAGCCTCCCAAAGTGCTGGGATTACAGTTGTGAGCCACGTTGCCCAGCCTGCAGGGTACTAAATACAGTATCTGATGTATAGAAAATGCTTGATGGCCAGGCGTGGTGGCTCACACCTGTAATCCCAGCACTTTGGGAGGCTGAGGCCAGCGGATCACCTGAGGTCAGGAGTTTGAGACCAGCCTGGACTAACATGGTGAAACCCCATCTCTACTAAAAATACAAAAATTAGCCAAGTGTAGTGGCGGGCACCTATAGTCCCAGCTACTTGGGAGGCTGAAGCAGGAGAATCGCTTGAACCTGGGAGGTGGAGGTTGCAGTGAGCCAAGATGGCGCCATTGCACTCTAACCTGGGTGACAGAGCACCAGAGCGAGACTCCATCTAAAAAAAAAAAAAGAAAGTGCTTGATAATGTTAGATATTATGATTACTACCATGATTGGTGATATTGCTCTCTCCAGATTCCAACCCGGCCCTTTCAACTCTCCCAACTCTAAGCCAACAGTCACGGTGAATTTCCCATTTGTTCCCAGCTGCTCTCCCTCTAGAGTTCCTTTCTTTCCTCCCTGGGTTTGCATCATTGGTGGGTGCCTGCAGGTCTCCAGGCTGTGCTGACTCAGATTTCACATGGGGCCCGGGGCGCAGTGGCTCATGCCTGTTTCAGTGCTTTGGTAGGCTGAGGTGGGTGGATCACTTGGGGTCAGGAATTCAAGACCAGCCTGACCAACATGGTGAAACCCCGTCTCTACTAAAAGTATAAAAATTAGCCGGGCATGGTGGCAGGTGCCTGTAATCCCAGCTACATGGGAAGCTGAGACAGGAGAATTGCTTGAACCTGGGAGGCAGAGGTTGCAGTGAGCCGAGGTTGTGCCACTGCACTCCAGCCTGGGTGACAGAATGAGACTCTATCTCAACAACAACAACAACAAAATATTTCAAATGGACAGAGGCCCGGGGTCCGCATGACACCACCCACTATCTCCTCCCTAGTCTAGAGGAGCTGGGGATGCTTTGGGATCTCTTGGAAGGGCAGTCCTGAGCTCATGTGAGGATAATATACTAGGTGAGATGGTGGAAGTGACATTACAAATGAGGGAAATTAACTGTTACAACCATAACTGGAGTCTAAAGGTGGAGATGACACGCAGTCCTATGAATATATGGTCCTGACCACAGGCCAGCCAGAAATCAGCCTCGGCGGGAAAATTGAGCTGTGATTATTACAAAGAGTCAGAATGATGGCTTCAGTCATGATGCTTCGGGAGTTTCATAAAGAGCAGCCCAAACAGTGTCGACATTAAGTATTTCAAGAGAGAAGGATGGTTTGTAAAGCAGCGTCTTCTTATTCCCTGAAAAGCTACTATGAAGATGTCAGGCATATGGAAATAACAGATGGGAAAGGCGAGAGGAGATCATTACTCTGAACTGTAAGTGCCATTATTGACAAGCGCAGCCCACATCGCTGAGCAAATAGATGTGCCTGAGGGTGGGAGGGAGATACATGAAGAAAAGGAAGCATAAGTCAGATATTTCCAAACACTGGGAGGTGAAGAGAAATTGCATTAGGATGCTAGCGTTCTTCAAAGTTAAAAAAAAAAAAAAAAAAAAACGGTTTGAGCTGGAATGTGAGCAAGGAAGATCCCCTCAGCAATTAATTAATAGGCTAATTTATTTTTCATTTCTATATGACATAGTTGTTCTCAGTGTTGGGGGATCACTCTGAAAATCTGATGAAAATGGTGTCTTCTTTTTCTTTGTTATTATTATTGTTATTTTTTGAGACAGAGTCTCACTCTGTTGCCCAGACTGGAGTGCAGTGACACGGTCTCGGCTCACTACAACCCCCATCTCCCAGGTTCAAGCGATTCTTGTGCCTCAGCCTCCATAGTAGCTGGGATTATAGGCGGGCACCACCACTCCTCAGCTAGTTTTTGTATTTTTAGTAAAGACAATGTTTCACCATGTTGGCCAGGCTGGTCTCGAACTCCTGACCTCAGGTGATCCACCAGCCTTGGCCTCCCAAAATGCTGGGATTAAAGGTGTGAGCCACCGTGCCTGGTTGGTGTTCCTTTTCTAAAAAATGTTTTTATGAATACACAATCAATTTTTTGTTTGCTTGTTTTTATTTTAGGTTCAAACACGTGCAGGTTTGTTACATGAGTATGCTGCAAACTGCTGAGGTTCGGGCTTCTATCAAGCCCATCACCCAAATAGTGAACATAGTACACAATAGGTAGGTTTTCAGCCCTAGCCACTCTCCTTCTTTCTCCCTTTTTGGAGACCACTGCCACCTCCTCAGAGCCACCCCATGTTGACCATTGGATGCATTGTACGCAGGCTGTCTTGGGAAGGGAGTGTGGCTTTGAATAAGGCAGTTCTTTTCAGCTGAGGGCAAGTTCTGGAGATGGAGCAACTGAAGGAGTGGGTGACTCTGTCCAGGAACTGAAGATCTGGGTAACCCATGACAGTGTCCACTACACCATGGAGCCCTGCTTTAAAGAAGCCACTTGTGTCTCTTGTGCTCTATGGAACATGCTTTGGGAATGCTGCCTCTAAGACTGTGGTTTAGAGATAAGCAATCTCTAATTGGAAGCTATGGGTCTTATTGTATGTATCTATCCAGAGCGTCTAATATAGCAAACTGTGATACTACATGAGCCTACCTAGTTTAGGCACTTTGGGTAAGTGTAGGCACAATTTAGGCACAATCTCTGTAAGGCAAGCTTAGAACATCTGCATATAGTATCTAGAAATAAATGGTGTAGAGTGTCTTACAGTGTAATGCAGACTTAAGCTAGTTAGTGGCAGAACTGAGACTTGAAGAGGTACCTGGCTCTCAGATCAGTTTTGTTCCATTGCACCTACAAGCCCTTGGTTCCGGAGACAGAGATGTGAAGAAATTATATTCAGGAATCCCTTTACCAAAAGGGCAGCCAATCTGATGATTTGGAAATTCTATTTTGAGACCAGTTAAAAGAGAGAAATTTCAGTTCATTTCTCATTTGTCATTCACCAGGTCTGGGATGTCCCTGGGCAATGCTAAGCTAACATTCAGCGGTGTCTACAAGATGACACGCAATATGTTGAAAGGTAGGCATTAAAGACCTTTGACGGCATTGGAAGAGGGTAATAACAGCCTCCCAAGAGTGATAAGAGCAGGAACAAATGTGAACTGAAGATCAAACATCAGCCAGCTACATAAGACAAGATTGAAATGGGACGCCAGGCAGCCTCGGGGGGGAAGAGGGGATATGCGGGATCAGTGCTCTGAAACAGGAACATGACTGATCTCCAAAATAAACAGATGGACAGATCACAGCCTAATTTAGATACTACCTTGAGGTGACTGCCACTGAGGTTTTGATTTTTCTTCTATAAGTAGTTCACAGCTTTGCCAGAATATAAATAGACTACATTGAGGCAAAGCTTGAAGGAATCTAAAAGAGGGTATAGCCCCATGTCTTTATTGTCTTTATCAGCAAACCGAAGTCCAGAAGAGCTTACTGATTTGCCTAAGGTGACACAACAAGTTAGTAACAACACGAGAAGAGAAATCAGGTCTTTTTTTAAAAAAAAATTTTCACAAAATTATTCATTTATAGACATTGAACATTTCAAGTGGTGGTCCCTGGGTTTAAACCCAGTAGACTGTGGAGTTGACTGGGCCACAGTGCATGATTTCAGTAAGTTCTCAATCAACTGAGCAAAGAGATCCATCAACAAATAATAAGGGGACAGGCCGGGCACGGTGGCTCATGCCTGTAATCCCAGCACTCTGGGAGGCCAAGGCAGGTGGATCACCTGAGGTCAGGAGTTCGAGACCAGCCTGGCCAATGTGGTGAAACCATGCCTCTACTAAAAACACAAAATCAGCCAGGTGTGGTGGTGCGCACCTGCAATCCCAGCTACCCCAGAGGCTGAGGCAGGAGAATCGCTTGAACCCCGGAGTGGAGGTTGCAGTGAGCTGAGACTGTGCCACTGTGCTCCAGCCTGGGCAACAAAGTGAGATTCCATCTCAAATAATAAATAAATAAATAATAAGAGGACAGACTAGAGCATTTTCACAATGCTAAGTGATATGATATATACAAAGTACTGAAAGCCTCTGACTAATCCTGAGGTGCTTAGAAAATTGGTAAAAGTGGCTGGACATGGTGGCTCACGCCTCTAATCCTAGCACTTTGGGAGGGTGAGGCGTGCAGATCACGAGGTCAGGAGATCGAGACCATCCTGGCTAACACAGTGAAACCCCATTTCTACTAAAAATACAAAAATTGGCCAGGCAGGGTGGCATGTGCCTGTAAGCCCACCTACTTGGGAGGCTGAGGCAGGGGAATCGTTTGAACCCAGGAGGTGGAGGTTACAGTGAGCTGAGATTGTGCCACTGCACTCCAGTCTTGGCAACAGAGCGAGACTCCGTCTCAAAAAAAAAAAAAAAAAAAGAAGAAATGCTGTGCTTGTATGATAGTCCTGATTTGCACCAGACCATTCTGGAAAGAGAGTTCGTGTGTTTAATTTTCAGCCTCAACTCTGTCAATGTCCAGAATCAGTTCTGAATAGGCAAGAGGGTGTGTTAACTGTTTTAGGTTCAAAGCACTTAGGGTCTGGATTGCCTCTGTCAGCACTGGGTCCAGTGCTCTGCATGCCTGGCCACCCAGTACAGCCAAATAGCTCAGTATACAGAAATAAATTTGGCCGGATGCGGTGGCACATGCTTGTAATCCCAGCACTTCAGGGGTCTGAGGCGGGAGGATCACTTGAGCTCAAGAGTTCGAGACCAACCTGGGCAGCCTAGTGAAACCCCATCTCTAGAAAATATACAAAAATTAGCTGGGCATGGTGGTGCGTGCTGGTTGTCACAGCTACTTGGGAGGCTAAGGTGGGAGGATTGCTTGAGCCTGGGAGGTCAAGGCTGCAATGAGCTGTTATGGTGCCACTGCACTCCAGCCTGGGTGACAGAGTGAGACCCTGTCTCAAAATAAAATGCAATACAATAAAAAATTTTTAAAAATGGATTAGAAGAAGAGAGGGGAGTCTCACAGTACCCTTTGCAGGAAGTACCTCCAGGTCTCTGTCTTTATACCTCTGCTCTCTCTCCCCCTGAGTTTCAGAATAGGATATGGGCATCTCTTAGGGTGTCTGTCTCATGATCCTGCTATCTTTGCCTTGATTTTTTGTGTGTGTGTGGCTTGTGATCATTCATATGTTCCAGTCAAGTCAGCTATAACTTCTGGGATTATGTGGCCATGGAGCTCTGGTGTCTACAGCTGTTTGGGCTATGTATAGGTTCTCTGATTCTTCAGAAAGAGAAGTTAAATGCATTCGGCACAAATTAGATCAGCTTCCCACCCCTCTTCCCAACAACTGTGGTCAGGGCAGTAGTCAACTACTATAGTTAAAAGTCCATAGGCTTTCTCTGCCATCAATGACTGTGAGAGGCATTAGTCCTGGAGTGTCAACAGCTTGAGCAGGTGTCCTAAACGTGTCTAATGATCATCAACTCCCAAACATGCCTTCTTCTCTGTCATTCAGGTTTGGGGAGATTCAGCCTCAGTTCTTCCATTTCCTTTCCCTCCCTCCCTCCCTCCCTCCCTCCCTCCCTCCCTTCCTTCCTTCCTTCCTTCCTTCCTTCCTTCCTTCCTTCCTTCCCTCCCCTTCCCTTCCCTCCTTTCTTCCTTCTTTCTTTCCTTCCTTCCTTCCTTCTTTCTTTCTTTTTTTCTATTTTTTTTGAGACAGAGTCTCACTCTGTCACCCAAGCTGGAGTCGGTGGAATGATCTCTGTTCACTGCAACCTCTGCCTCCTGGGTTCAAGCAATTCCCGTGCCTCAGCCTCCTGAGTAGCTGGGATTACAGGTTTCTTTCTTTCTTTCTTTCTTTCTTTCTTTCTTTCTTTCTTTCTTTGCTGCTGCACTGCTGCTGCTGCTGCTGCTGCTTCCCTTTCTCTCATTTTCCCTTCCTCCTTCCTCCCTCCATCATCCCTCCCTCTCCCTTTGCCTCTTGTGTAGCCCTCAGCACTTGTATGCTGCACTGCACCTGCTTTTTTATTTTTTGAGACAGAAGTCTCACTCCTCCACCCAAGTTAAATCAATGTATTATCTTGCTCACTGCAATCTCCACTTCACAAAGTTCATGAATTATCGTACCTCGGCATCCCCTGAGTAGCTAGGATTACAGGTGCTAGCACCAAATTCCTGGCTCATTTGTATGTTTTTAGTAGAGGCAAGTTTGCCATGTTGGCCAAGCTAGTCTCAAACTCCTGACCTCAAGTGATCCACCCACCTCGGCCCGGACAGCCACAGGCGCAGGCCACATTTTAACAGTTTCCCATTTTCAACTAAATCTCTACCACGAGTGATGTTAGGCTTCATTGATTATCAGTATAATACTGCTCAAACTGCCTTAGCAAAATATGACAGACTAGAGTGGCTGCAACCAGCAGACATTCATTTTATCAGTCATGGGGCGGAGAATCTCAGATCAAAGTGCCAGCAGGTTTTGGTTTCTAGTGAGAGTCTCTCTTGTTTGGCTTGTAAACAGCTGCCTTCTGGCTGTGGCCCCTTCCCTCTATGTACCTGTCCTACTGTCTCCTCTGCTTCAAAGGGCACTATGCCTCTTGAATTTAGGAGCCACACTGCCATGACCCTCATTTATCTTTAATTACCTCCTGTAAAGTCCTGTTTCCAAATCTAGTCACCTAGGGGTTAGGGCTTCAAACATAAGATTCTAGGGGATGGTTCCAGTTCATGTACACCTTGGTAATCTTCTAACTTGGAGACCCTCCCAAAGCAGAGATTCCTTGGCTGGAGTCTTACCTCATTGTCCTGGGCAAGTTACTAATAGAATACAACAGCCATGCCAACCAGCTTTAGTCAATACTAAAATAGGCAAAAAAGAAATTTAATTGAGATAAACCAAAAACATTAATTAGGCAAAAATGTGGGATGTTAGCTATCTTTTCAGAGAGAGGACCGGAAGAGTGATGGGAGCTTCTGAGAGCTGTTTTTGATCTGAGTGCTGGTTGCATGGCTGTATTCAGTTTGTGCAATTCATCTTCATATAATTATAGCATGTATCTTCTGTATAGTGTGGGTTCTAGTCACCCAGTGATAGAGTAACAAAATCACTGCAAACTTGAGTGGCTTAAAGCAGCATTAGCACTCTCATGAATCTGCAATTTGGGCAGAATGCTTGGGGATAACTTGTATTTCACTACTTTCATCATCAGGCTAGGGCATTCAGAAGTCAGGGACTAGGATTGTATGGCGGCTTTCTCACTTCCATGTCTGCAACTGATGCTGGCCCAAATGGAATTGAAAGGCAATTACTAGCTTTAGGTGAAACCTTAGTTGGGACTTTTGCCTAGAGCACCTACATAGGAGCCTCCTCGTGTAGTCTGGGCTTAGCACTTGTAAAGCGACAGAGTTTTAAAGATAGGCATGGAGAGTCAGGTGGAAGCCATATTTTCTTTTATGACCTTGTCTCAAAGTGTATAGTATCACTAGACCTATGAATTTTATTAAGTCAAGCCACAAATGCCCATTCAATTTCAAAGGAGGAAAAATTTACCTCTACTCTCTAGCTAGGAATGGCAAAATTCTGAAGATTACCAAAGGACCAGATATATTGCTGTAAATTTTGAAAACAAAACAAAAACAAAACATCCTGCTGTAATGTTGTACTTTAATAAGAAGTTAAAATTTTGAGTACAATAAAAAGTGTGGAAAAATGTAGCAGATTGTTGAAAGAAACAAGTGAGACAAATGACAAACCAGGCCAAAATCAAAAATTCTAAGAATCATGCATCATCTCTTTATCCACTCTGCCAGTCTTCTAAAAGCCCTCTAACATTGTAAAATCTTTGACATACCAACCATCTTACATGGAGTAAAATAGTAAACAAAAGCCCTCAGCAACTCAATTGGCAGTGGGCAGAGTTATTACATAGGGCTGAATTTAAGCTTATGTATTTTTTCAGTCATTTGTAATCCTTAGTGGAAAAGGATCATTATCTCTTTGATAAGAGCTGTAGTGTCCAGGAAATGGAGCATGAAAATGATTTTGCTGTGATGTAGAGATTAGGCAGAACAACC